CTCCAATATCTGTTTGTCTAGGTAGTTTATATCTCTCTCCAATATCTGTTTGTCTAGGTATTTATATTTCTTCCAATATCTGTTTGCTAGGTATTTATATTCTCTCTCCAATATCTGTTTGCTAGGTATTCTATATCTCTCTCCAATATCTGTTTGCTAGGTATTTTTATCTCTCTCCAATATCTGTTTGCTAGGTAGTTTTATCTCTCTCCAATATATGTTTGCTAGGTAGTTTTATCTCTCTCCAATATCTGTTTGCTAGGTAGTTTTATTTCTCTCCAGTATCTAAACTTTTAATATTTCAACCGTCTAGGAGTTTGAATTGTCCTCATCACACAGATACGACTGATACTAATCCTCCTAAACCGTGTTCAAAAAACAACACTCGTACAAAAATAACTGCCCAAATTCAAATACGTGGAATAACTTTGCTCTTACTACGTCTTATGAAATTAACCCATTTTACACCATTTGTTTTACAGCGTGATCTTTAGATTCAGTTGTTTTTTTTATTAATTTTAATATTTAAAAAATTCAAAGTATCCATATTCATTAATCTCACACAGAGTAATGATAATATAACCACTGCTAGAACGATCTTGGTAAACAAACAGTTATCTTTATATGCTCAAGTACGTCCTTCTTACATTTCCAACACATACACATATATATATATATTATACTGGTCCGTTAGGATACCTTTATTTATTTATGTAGTTCTTTTGTAGCTTGATTTCCTTTATCCTACTTTGAAATTGTTTGCTTGGTTATTTCAAAAATATTCCCAAAAGTAATAATATTGTTTCGAAATGCTTTCAAAATCATTGATAAAACTAGATCCGTATCATTCTAAAAACATGATTGGTAAAAATAGATCCTTATCATTCTAAAAAACATTATTGGTAAAACTAGATCCTTATCATTCTAAAAAAACATTATTGGTAAAACCTAGATCCGTATCATTCTAAAAAACATTATTGGTAAAACTGGATCCGTATCATTCTAAAAACATTATTGGTAAAAACTAGATCCGTATCATTCTAAAAACATTATTGGTAAAACTAGATCCTTATCATTCTAAAAACATTATTGGTAAAACTAGATCCTTATCATTCTAAAAAACATTATAGGTAAAACTAGATGCGTATCATTCTAAAAACATTATTGGTAAAACTAGATCCGTATCATTCTAAAAAACATTATTGGTAAAACTAGATCCTTATCATTCTAAAAAACATTATTGGTAAAACTAGATGCGTATCATTCTAAAGTTCCCACTTTCTTTCCCGAACAGGTAGTCTTAACACGATGTACCTCAACTCTCGACTAGGTGACACACTGGCGCCACCTAGGGCGTTACCATCCGAGTTTTCACCGTACGGACTTCGACCTTATGACTTTGCACGCCACATTCTCACATCACAAACTGCTGTTACGAAAATTTTAGGTAAATCGAAGTTCGTTTTTGTGCAATATTTGTTTCAATTAAATTATGTCAGAATGTAATATTTGGCTGTTAATATTAATTTTAAATTATTCTAATGTCTGTAAAACTTAAATGGGCTTATAGTACGACAATAATAAAATACAGACGTGGCTTACACCGTATTAGAAACTTATTGGAAATATTTTCTTATTTATTTTCTCTGCATCTCAGTAAATAAATTAGTTTATAATGTAATATTTATTAATTATTTGGGTTTATTGTTTGTGTATTAATGGCGGAATTTGATGTTTGTTCACATTTACTTAAAGGAAGATACTCTGAAAAATTATTTGATTGTTTTTTAAATATTTGACATTTCCAAGGTCTCTCGGGGGCTCAGCGGTAAGAATGGGGAATTTTAATGCCAAAATTTGATGTTCGGTCCTCCCAGCAAGCACAGCATATATAGCGGATTGGTTAACAAACATTGTCCAGGTATATTTTAGTGTTATCCATGAAAAGGCCACAATTCATATTCTGCTATTCATTCTGTAATCATATACATCAGGTAATATCGAAGTAATGTCTGACGGTCAACATGCCAAACTGTAGTCCTGGGGTTCCGGGTTCGCGTCCCATTACCGCACTTGGGGGGCATAGCTTTGTCATAAAAGAAATACTAGAACATTCCATTCGCACTCTCATATTACAGTCACTCAAGGTTCACAACAAAGTGCTAATCTCGCTATTAACTTAAGACATTTGAATAATAACTGTACCGTAGTTTAAACAACAATGACCTTTGATGTAAGTTCTATTCTTAACTCTCTGTTTAAACAACAATGACTATTTGATGTAAGTTCTATTCTTAACTCTCTGTTTAAACAACAATGACTATTTGATGTAAGTTCTATTCTTAACTCTGTTTAAACAACAATGACTTTTGATGTAAGTTCTATTCTTAACTCTCTGACGTTCGTTATTTATAGGCTTCTAATTTTGCATTTTTTTTCAAAGGTTAAAACTATTTTAACTAATTATTAAATTGGACATATTATTTTTAATAACAACATTTACGAGTAAATCGATTATACATTTATAGGTGGCTGAAGACCAGTTATCAAAGCTATCAGAATTAGGCTTAATCGCTTCCAGTGCCATTCTGTTTGTTTGTTTGTTTGAAGTTAAGCACAAAGCTACACAATGGGCTATCCTGTGCTCTGTCCATCACGGGTATCGAAACCCGGTTTCTAGTGTTGTAAGTCCGCAAACATACCGCTGTGTCACTGGGGGGCGTTGCCAGTTTGACTTCAATACTTTTCATTTCACTTATAAACCAACATCTTTAGTTAGAGCTAGATATTATGATCGACGTTAGGAGTTAATGTTTCCTTCTGGTTTCACATCTAACTCTTGTCCAATATCTCCCTCTACCCCATGCATGTCAGAGAGGTGAAAAGTGACCTTAAGTTTTTATTGTACCGATTTAATTAGTATTTAATAGATAATTCGAATGGTGTTGTTTGCTTTGAAGCTACTGACTCCACAAAAACAAACAAAAAAAAAATATGGCGAGGAGTATAACTGATCTGTATTCAGTGAATGAATAACATTAGTGGCTTCTGGGAAATGTAAAAAAACACAAAGTTTTAAAGAACAAAAATTTAAAGGAACAGGATACAAATATCTTTCGGTTAAAGATCAAGTATTAAATTCATGTAACAGTTAAAGAATTATCAATGTATCGATGAAAGGTTTATGGCTATCATTTTGACGACAGAGATATTGCCTATAGTTCAAAATTAAACTCCTTTATCTTTAGTTAGCTCGAGCTTGTTTGTTTGTTACAAAGCAAAATCATATTGGACTATTTGCTGTGCCCACCGCCGAACTGCGGATTTTAGCGTTATAAGTCCGTAAACTTCCCGCTGACCCGCCTTAAAAATTGAAGAATGTTGTTAATAGTTACATTAGTGAAACCATAACAACAAAGGGTACCACATCTGTGAAACCATAACAACAAAGGGTACCACAATAGTGAAACCGTAACAACAAATGGTACCACATCTGTGAAACCATAACAACAAAGGGTACCACATTTGTGAAACCGTAACAACAAGTGGTACCACATTCATGAAACCGAAACAACAAAGGGTACCACACTAGTGAAACCATAACAACAAAGGATACCACATTAGTGAAACCGTAACAACAAAGGATACCACATAAGTGAAATCATAACAGCAAAGGGTACCACATTAGTGAAACCGTAATAACAAAGGGTACCACATTAGTGAAACCATAACAACAAAGAGTACCACATTAGTGAAACCGTAACAACAAAGGATACCACATTAGCGAAACCATAACAACAAAGGGTACCACATTAATAAAACCATAACAACAAAGGGTACCACGTTAGTGAAACCATAACAACAAAGGGTACTAAATAGACGCGTTCTCTATTCATATGAAAATACAACTGGACGACTTGAAGGTTAATTTGATCGTTTAATTAAGTCTAGTCGTTTTTATGGAGGATAGGACTATTGAATGAGCAAGTTTTTTAACGAGGCATAATTTTAATCTTCTTAAATTGTTTGAGCTCATCCGTTAAGTCCAAAAAATAATAATTAAAAAAGAAACTTTACCTTTTATATTTCTAACTTTTATGATATTTCTTAATTAAAGCCAAGTGTTTTGTCACGGTCCAAACATTATAATTGTTTTATGAGGGCGCTACTATGAAACAGGAACACTCCGTCCAGGCGTTATTGGAGGAAGTAAACCGAAGGTGGCGACACCAGCGGTAGTGGCTAAAATCGAACAGTACAAGAGAGAGAATCCTACGATTTTTGCCTGGGAAATTAGAGAACGTCTCATCTCGGAAAGTAAGTTTTTCACATTTGTAAACTGTTGTTTCTGTTAAAATATCGAACATATGTAAAACACTGGCATTTCTATTAAAATCAAGTATGTTATATGGCAATGTAATATTACCCAACCTTCCCATTTCACAGCTGTTTTACAGTAACTTGTCACTTTCGTTTTGTAGGTTTAATATGTATATTTATTTCGTTATAGTTACCATAACATTCAAAATTTAAGCAATGCATGCAACATATTAAAATACAAGACCTGGTGTTATATCTGTGCAAAAAAAAACTACAAAAATTAGATCTGCTATTACTGCAAACATTTCCTGGGAGAAAATCAACAAGTAAACTCCTGATAATAAAGCCCATTTAGTTTACTTTTGTTGTGAGGTAAAGTTCAACTTACGTGTCTTGAGGTTTAATAAAGCTAACAGCTCTATTTTAGCTCTACGGGATGCCAAGATTAGCATTCGTTTAGAGGTAAAATACGCCCTTGCCAACTGCTGCGTGGCTATGCATCTCAATCAAGACACTTTAACAGTTGTCCTCGTAAATTTAACCGATTTAATCAATTGGTCGTCTTCAAAACAAAAACGTCGTTGCACCCATAAGTTCGTTTTTCTCAACAGGCAGATTCTACAAACTCATTATATCTGTTACAGCGACCCCTGTATATTATTTTGAAGAGTAAAAATAACCTTCTATCATGTTTGAATATTTATTCATCGTGATTTTTTTAACCTTTCAATTACGTTAAAATTTAGGTTATTTTTCCGATTTGTTAACCCGGTATCATTTCAAAGAACTTAAAACAACTAAAAGATAATTAGAAAATATTTTATGTTGAATATTAGAGTGAATAAGACTAGTTAGAATAAACTCTAAAACATATTGAGTTGCATCCTTTATAAGAAACCATTTCACAAAGAAGGTTATAAACCTATGAGTTATCTATCTATACAAGAGTAAATGACGTTACTTCAACATCTTTTCTTATCCTTTCTTAAATATAAAAGATATAGCTAACAGTGTATAATATATTCATAAGTTTGAAAATTAGAAAGCTCCATTGGTTGTGTTAAGCCTAGTTTCGGTTGGAGCTACTTGGTATGTAGTTAGTCTAGGACTGATATTTTAATCTTTATGTAATTAATAATCCATATCAAAATATTTAGGGCAGTTGCTTCTGATCATGACCCCTCCCCCTCCGTTAACCATATTGTACGATATGTTAATATTCACTCTTTTGATTAATTCACTCTGTTGCTGTATTTAAAAATCTTCACACACACTTTCCTCCCCCTTACCATTTCTAATTCGCCACTAAGTGTGTGTATAGACAAAGGCAACCGAGTGAAAAGTAACAGCCATTAAATCTGTATCTGATCGGACGGGTTTTAATATTTGTAGATAATAATGGTCTCTTCTATGATTGGTGGGTGAAGAAGAAGTCTACTCGTATGTAGTTACCAACCTTAAAATAGATGAATACAGACAGACAGATAGGAAAGATATGGACTTATGGGAGACGATGGATGACATGATGGACAAACGGGAAATAATGGACAAATGGTCATACAAGAAAATATGACTGAGTAACTAGAAATAGACAGATTCACCAGCCAGTCTTCTAACCGTGTTTCTAGTTTTTTTTGTTTTATGAATGACCGGTCCCTCTTTTCAGGAACCCCACAGACTGACAGACCAATTCACGATTAGCTATCCTTGACTGACGCCCGACCCCTACCAGCTACTTCCTCTCCTTAAACTGCCACTTTTCTCCCATTTGCGGGCCCACGAGCCCGTTAACACACAATTAACCCCCGCTATTAACACTGCACGCTTCCTTAGGTAATCATCTCGATAAATTTCTTCTGATCTCATTGCTTATATGCTTGGAGATGTGGCACTTCAAAGTAATAAACTACGATGGCTACGTGGGAAAATGGGTGTTGGTAGCATAGACCCATCACCTTACTACCCTATCTGTACAAATCGATAGTATCGCCAAGCCCACTGTAGGCGGATTACTTGTATATACATATCAGAAAAGCCTCGAGGATAAGCCATTTATCCTTGTATAATTGCAACTCCATAAAAAACCCAATGAGTTCGAACGTCTGTTGTAGCTATATAACGTTATGGCTTCACGGGTGGGGTAACGTTAGCATGGTTCACTCAGAGTAATCTTACCCTTGACGTATTGAAATACACAGCCAATTTGTTTAGGTTCTCAGCACCAAACACTAATTCCGTTTAATGGTAGCGTAGATAATTATCAGACATTTCCTTGATTACTTTTAAGGACCACTTTTTTTTTTTCTACACTTGATCAGTCTCCAACATGTTTCATCAACGTAACTCCAAAA